TTTTAATGTTATCTTTTTGAAAAAGATCAAAATCCGTATGAGGTCATTTAATGAAGCGGAAATGATCCACAGAAAACGCAAATAAATCCGCGATATTTTCAAAAACATTGCGTATTAAAGCTAGAAGTAAAATTAAAAAAACACTCAAAATCGAGCTTCAAAATGTCAGCATCATTTAAAGGTAAATGCAGTTAAGATTTTGAAAAATGATACATAAGGGGGGTAGTCCCCATTTTGTTGGCTTCTAGTTTTACTTTGACACGAAGACCGTGAAATGAGTGGCTTAGTCACAAATCGATAGAGAACATAAAAAAACTGGTTCGCCTCAACCTGTTTTTACACATTTTTTTACGTTCGAACAAAAACGTTGGTGCTTCTATCCTACCAAATCGAGTACAACTTACTTATTTTTATATTTTCTGAAAGTGTAATATGGACCAATGTACTATTTAGTACTTGTGTACCCTTACAGTTCGAATTTGTAATATAATATTTTGCACAGTGCAGAGACATGCCTTTAAAGGGAAGATTTCCATTAAAATTGCAGAAATATAGTATTTCTGGAGCGTTACGTGTTTCAAAATCTTCAATGGGAAAAATTGTCGGTATTTTTAGTATATCCTCGACATAAGAATCCATCCCGTTATTCATTACATTGGAAATAGCTGCAGTATAATATATTTCCAGTGTGGTTGGAAAATCATTGGAAATATATATCAGTAATATTATTTTAGAAATGATTGAAACTTTTGAGTTTAAAATTGCCAACACTTTAGTACTTGTGTTGTTCAGCAGCGTGTTTGCATAGTTTCACTTATTTTTAGTAATTTTAGTAAAAATGCTCGAAAAATATTTTATAATACATTTTATTTGCCGTAGTCAAAGATAAATACTAAAATTCGCATATCTGTCTCTAACTTTTCCTATTTAGTACTTTTTACATAAAAAATTTAGGACTCTACCTCTACTCGTTCTGTCATACAAAATTGCGTAAAGCATCGTTTATCATAGAAAAAGCCTGGTACCCAAATTCAATATCCACCCGTACCGTCGTATACAATGCGTTTTACTTTTTAGTCCATTTTACAGGTGTCTATCTTTATCCGTTTTACTGTACACAATATTTAGTACATGTATTCTCCTCGTATTCTATTTGTTTATAATATATAAAACTACATACCGAATTTCAGAATTATACTTTTTCCTGCACAGTGCAATACTTTGTATTTTTGGTGCAATTTAGTACAAATTTCCAATAAACCAAGCCTCTTATTTGTACTAAGAGTTGGAAGTTTTTTGTACTTTAAATTTACATTTATATTTTTTACCACTCACTGTTATACAGTATTTAGTACAGTTTTCCAAAAATATTTGAGCATGGTGCTCCATTTGTAATAGTTAAGCTATATACTAAAGTTCAGATTTCAATCTCTAACTTTTCCATTATAATTTAATATTTTGTACCATTTTAGTACTCATTTCAAAAAATATATTACTGTATAGCATAGTATTTGTAATAGTTAAATCTATGTACGGCGTTTCAGATTTCTATTTCTTCAGGTTCCAATCACCACTTTATACTATTTGTAATAGTTAAAGCTATATGCGAATCTCACTTCTACTACTAATTTCAAAAAAAAAAAATTGTTTGCCCATAATTCTATTTGTAATAGCTTAAGTTACATACCAGTTCCTACCAGTTCCATCGCAGTATAATATTTAGTAGGGGAGAGGGGGGCACCTTTGAACACTTTTTTCTTTCAAGCCTCATAAAATTGTTTATGTTATAATTTACTGTTTTAATGGACGAAGTCAAAGTGTTCAAAACTGCCCCCCCCAGGGGGGCACCTTTGAACAAAGTTTGGAATTTTTGAATGGCATGGTTTTTTAAAGTGTTTATGTTCAAATATATATGTATTGTATTCATATATATCAGAAATGCATTTATTTATTAAAAAATATATACAAAAATATTCGAAAATTAAAAAATGTTGATCAAAATTTATTAAAATATAAAATGACATAAAAACAAAAATTTATGTGGTGAAAAATGCAGCTAATTTCGCAATCTTATTAGCCCATTTGAAATTTTTGAGAAATCGAAGCCAAAAGTAAAAAACTCCGTTTTTTACTGGAGTATACTGGGTATGTTCAAAGGTGCCCCACCCATAGCATTTTATTTATAATAACTTTTTTTGTAATAAATATATGTAAAAGAAATTACATTAGTTATGTTTGAAATGATTGTTGGAATGCAAAAAATTTGTTTGACGAAAGAAAACTATCACAGAATTCTTCCTGCCCCCTTACAACCAAATGAATAAAAGTTTACAATGACACTGCGAAAACATGGTCACCCATGCACAATTTTTCGACAACTGAAAAAGCAAGGCAAAGTGGTTTACGCAGATAGAGAACAATATTGCCATATACAAAAATGTGGTTGTGGGTCGGAAAATTTTTAAACCAAGATTTTATGAGCGCTGTTCAAAGGTGCCCCACGTTCAAAGGTGCCCCCCTCTCCCCTACATTTTAGTACCTTTAGTACTAATTTCCACATTCTGATTTGTTTATCAATAACGAAGCTGCATACCCAATTTTTTTCCGTAAGCATAGAACAATTTTCTGTTCCAAAATTTAATGCAACTATCCTAAATAGGATATGAACATAATTTGGCATCTCTAAATCCTTGCCTTCGGAAGATACAGTACATTATTTCTGAACAGTAAAAGTCCTATATCAAGAAAACCAAATGCAAAATCTCCGGAAAATCATTTTAAATTAATCTCTATATTCTTTTTTACAAGAATCAAAAATAATTTTGATGTCAGAATTCGTATAATTCGAATACGAAGCGATTTAAATAATTTGAACTGTATACACAAATTAGTACTGTGCACATATTTGCCCATTTCTCTATATTGAAAAGCTTATAACTTTACCAAAAAATTTAATTCCTTTTGGATTTTTCTTTGAAATCCAAAGAAAATATATCTACTAGCTGAATATTTTATATATAAGATCTAAAACATTTTGTTGCCTGTGGGCAACATTGGGCCATAAATGGTTAATATAATATTTTTAAAAACATTCTGAGGTGCTGACAGGTTAAATATTATTAATATTTAATATTTTCTAAATTAATATTTACAAAAAAAATTCAAATAATTTATGAAAATATATTTTTAAGTTAATATTTTTTTGAAGTCAATATTTATTTTAAATATGATACTTTTAATTAAATTAAAATTATGTTAAAAAAAATAATAAGAATACTTGTTAAATGTATCTAAATATTTTTAAAGACTTGGTTCTGACCTACAGGTGTATTTTCCTTCAAAATGATATGCGAAAAAATTAAAACATAAATATTGAAAAACAATTTATCATAATATTTTTTTTTCAGGGACGTATTTGTAAAATATTTATTCATTATTATTTTTTTTTTTTTGGAATTCAAAAAAGATATTCATTAAAATATTCATACCAAATGCAGGCCTAGGAAAAATAATTCGTAAAAGTTCCAGGCCTTATAAAGGCCTGCATACTTCAAAATACGACTTGAAGAGGAACAAAAGCCTTGCGAAAATATTTCTTGAAAAAATCCAAGCCTTGGAAAAATATTCTTTAAAAATCTACACCCTATAGAAACATATTTTTTTAAAATGACTTAAAAAGGACTGTAAAAATCCAGGCCTTATATAGATGGGCCTTTGGAAAAATATTCTACAAAAAATCCACTCTTCAGGAGAAACAATCTTTATAAAAATCCACGCCTTTTATAGGCCATGCCATTTTTTTTAATCCAATTTTTATCTAGGTCTTGAAAAAAATAGTATTTTTTAATCCTTTTTCAACCATTAAGTTCTAGTTTTATTGGGTGTCGATATTGACATGTGAAAAATATTTATTTCATATTCCAATTGATTTCAAACCACAAAAAAGTAGATCCTCACATGCACTCATTCAGTGACTTCATCATCGTTCTAAAATTACAAAAATATATAAAATACAAAAAAATATATATCAACAGCAACAACAACAGCTACAACACGAAGGAAGAACTACGTTTGAAAACAACGGGGCCGGGAAATCAGGCAACAACAACAACAAAAATCCATCGAATCCAATAAGAACGACGAAAAAAGCGAACCTCTAAGGCAGGCATCAAATACAACTACACACACCCAACCAATCGCACACACCCATACACTCACCCAGCAAGCGAGCATTATCAGTTCGGCGTGTGAATGTATGGGTGTGGGCGCATTTTGCATGCGATTGTGTGAGTACGCACTCGTTTCTTCCGATCATCAGCGCTCTCTGCGTTTGTATGCAACGGCATGTGGCAGTATTGGTGCGACCCGACCAGCTATCTGGGAGCAGCATGAAAAATCTTTTGCTGGCCGCATGTTTAGTAACACTTCGAACGTTTGTCGATCTCCATGTAGGGAGAGTATACGACGATCGTATTTTTCTTCTTCTGCTGTCGTATACAACAGAGTTTTGATTTCCACTGGTAGTTAAGTCGCTTTGACAGAAAACCAAAGAAAAAACGGCAAGGCAATAATCAGTGTATGTTAAAAGTGCTTAACGTCGAGTCGAGTTGTGTTAGTTTGTCAATAATAATAAGAAAAAAATCATAATTTTTTTGTTTTCTCTGCTTTTTTACGTTAATTTCAAAAAAAAAAATTGTTTTTCTTTGCATTTTTCGTTTTGTTTTTGTTGTTGCTGTTATTTTGTTTCAACAACAACAAAACGCAACATTTGTTTCCATCTAATTTTCCGTCCTTTCTCCTCCTTATATAGTGTTGCGACAACGGTAGTGTCCTTCTCTACCCTTGTTCCACAAATATCTGATGTTATATAAACTGTAAACAACAACAACAACCACAACAAAAACATTCCATCCTTAATAAATATATAAACACTTAAACACAAACGGATACGCGTCTAATCGGTGTCAAAACGAAAAGTTCTTCTTCTTCGCAAAAACACAATGCTGCCATTGCCCAGAGGCCTATCGGGTCTCTTGGGTGGAAATGCCGCCCCCAAGTGGCATCGACATCAACAGCTGAGGAACTCAGTGTTTTTCGTCATGTGTCTATTTTTGCTAAGTGGCCAATTTGCAGATGCAAAGGTAAGTTGAATTTTTTTGTGTTTATAAAAAATACGAATCCCCTTCCTCTTGAAGTGGAGGAAGGGTGTATAAAAATTAATCGGAGTGAATTTTTGGAGGTGATAATTTGTGTAAAGTGTAAATGGAAAGTTTCAATGGTACATAGTTCGGTTTATAGGGAGTTTATTATCGAACTCAAGTTAAAAAAAAATCTATAAAAACCCTCAAAATTGAGGTTATGACCGAATTCAAACTTCTGTGGAGTTTCATATAATTGAGCCTTGGAGTAAAGATAGTTTATTTAGGGCAATAATAAAAAATAATAATTTTTTAAAATGAATATTTAATAAATATTTTCGAATTAATTTTCTGCTTGAAATTATTTCCAAACTATAAAAAAAAAATATTTTTAAGGGTTGGGAAAAATTTTAATAAGCACAGTGTTAGGAAAAACAAAAATTCTTAATATATTAATTTAGAATTTCCAATTTCCAAAAATGTGTGTGGACTTAAAGTCTAGAAGCCAATAAAATGTATGCTAAAAAAATATTTTTTATTTCTATTTGAATTTTTTTGTATTTAATTTTTTTAAATGTTTATTAAAAAAAAATATATATATATATTTTTTTTTTCAAATATAAATTGAAAAAAAAAATCAGTAATTATTAACAGAAAAAATATTAAAAATAATAATTACATTTTTTTACAATTTGTAAATTTGTTTTTAAGCTAAACAGTAATAAATTTTAAATAAATTATAATTTATTGTTTTTTTTTAAATAAAATGTATTTAATTTTTTATACATGTTTTTATAAAAAAAAATAAAAACCAAAAAAAAAATTGAGGTTATAAAATATTTTTTCTTTAATATTTAGGACATTATATATTTTTTTTAACGATATAAAAATTTTAATACAAAAAATAAAAATTAAATTTAGGCACTAATTTTAATAATGAAATTAATTTTTAAAATATTTGTTTTTTATTAAAAAAAGTTTATACAAATGTGCCTAATTGAAATATTGGTTTTAGACTCCATGTTTCTGTGACCAAATACGTTTCAGAAAAATTCGAGTCGTCCGTCCGTCTGTCTGTCTGTCTGGCCGGCTGGTGCGCACGATAAATTGCGAAGGGAGTAATAGATTCCATCCAAACTTTTCACATCTTAATATTTCTTTCAAACTTATTTCAAGTTCGAAGATGGGGAATATCAGTCCACTCCTTCTGGTACCTCTCCCACAAAATTTTCAATATTGTACAAAAAAATGTATTTTATATTATCTTGCGAACAGACTTTGTACAACCTAATATCTATTGGCCTATTATCTATTGGTCTACTTCTTCTTGTACATCCCCCAGACGCATTGGTCCACACCTTCTGGTACCTCCCTTAGAAAGGCTCAAAATCCAATCCAATTTTAAGCGAATGGAATGTTCGATTTGAACCAAATCTTTGTACAACCTATTACCTTTACCAATTTTGGATGCAGTCCGAAGATGAGACTCCACAAAAGGTCAACATGTTCAAGTTCAGGCGAACGAAATGTCCAATTTGAAACAAACTTTGCACAACCTTCTATCTCTACTAAGCCTACATCAAGTGCAAAGATGATACCGATTTGTCCACTCCTTTAGGTACCTCCCCCACAAAATGGTCAAAATTGTTCGAACGATTTGAACCAAACCTCTATTACCTTTACCAAGCATAGATGAAATCCAAAGATCGGACACATTGTTCCACTACTTCTGGTACCTCCCCCACAAAGGGTCAATATTTTCAACATTTCTAAATCCCATATTAGGCGATAGTAATGTTCGTTTTTAACCAAACTATTATCAATCTATTATCTTTACCAAGCCTAGATCAAGTTCTCCCCCAGAAAGGGTCAGTATTTTATAAACTTGTAAACTTTATTAAATTGAAGCAAATTGAATTTTCCGATTTCTTCTATATTTTGTTTAGATCCTCCTTTCCGCTGCATATTTTATATCCTCAAACGTAGCGGGGATTTGCATTTTTTTTTCCAGACGATCTTTAAACTTGAATTAAAATATAAATAAAAAATTCATTATAAAAAATTAATTAAAATATTAATTATATTATATTATTTTTTGTAATGTCGACTCAAATATTTTCCGTTTATAACAGCACTTAAACTTTGATTAAAAACAATAGTATGCTCTTTTAATGTGTGTAGAATTATTGTTCCTAAAAATCAACTAAAAATATATTAGTATATTTTTCTTTTTATATATTTTTAATAATTTTTAATGATTTAAAAATGTTAATATGCCCTTAAATGCGCTGTTTCTAACCCGTCTCTTAAATACACTCTTTACTCTATTTCGTTAATCTCTGATTTTAGCAATTTCTAATCTCTTAATATAAATCTCTTCACGTTCTCTCTAACTTGCTCTTCGCCCCATACAATGCTTTGCTATGCAAATCAAACGATATTCTTGCTGACATCTCCTAATCAGAGTCTAATGCAGTGATACTCTTATTACTTGCATTGGTATTTGTAACATCCTCTCCAGCCTATGCAAAACAATGCTAGATCTAAATTAAGAGAAAATACGTGAGGTTTGTTTTCACGAAAACATAAAGGGCTGAGCAATACTGGTCTAGTGTAGAGCACTTACATTTCTCTCATTATCTTAAAGAGTTCCAGAGAAAGAGTTTCTCTTGTATTGCTCATTTTTGCAAGAGAACATTTTTGTTTAAATTATTTATGAAAAAAAGAGCATTTCTCTCTTAAATATGCGATCTTTATTTAAATCATTATATATATTATATATTTAAATCATAGTATAGTATATAATATTTAAATAATAATCCGTTATTAAGGAAAAATAATCAAAACAGAAAAAATAAGAAAAACGTAGAATTTTTTCTGAAACAAAACAAAAAAAAAAAAACAACAACCGAAAAATTGGGTCAAATGAAAATAAAAGAAATAACGAGAAAACGCAACAATCAGTCAACTGACAGACGGACGGACGGACGGACGGACGGACACTGCCTTATGGAGGAGTAATGCTACTACTCTATCTTAATCGTTGACTTTCTTTCGTCTTCTTCTTTTTGATATAAAATTGTCGCATGCATTACAATTAACATTATTTAGTATCTGAATGCATTGTAATCAGTGGCAAATGTTTGTTGGTGTTGTTGTGTGTGATATTTGTTATAGCATGTATTTAAAAGCGTGGAGTAACACACTCCAGAGGAAAAATTATGAAAAAATAAGGAATATAGAATAGATTTGTAAAGAAAATGCAGTCGAGTGACGACAGACGATATATGAGATGATGATATATAAACATATGTAAGTGTAGTGATGATGTTGATGATCTTAAATGATGGCTGGGTGCCATAGAACTATCACTTTTTGTTATTATTTATTGTTGTTACTTAGACTATATTATATTTCCGGAATAGTTAGAATATATGTATGCGCATTGTATATATTTATGTTAAAGTAAATAACTTGAAAAATATTTAGTTTAAAAATAGTCAAATTAAAGTTTTAGAGTTATTACAAAAAATTGAGATAAATTTTAACTTAATAATTGATGTGATTATTGAATGGCCTTGACCTTACATTCTTGTAATTTTCAATATCTGACATTCTAGGAATATTAGCAGTGTGTGTACATACTTCAATATTACGATCTATATCGACAGACATCGACCCAGAATTTTATTCAGATCCAAAAAGGTATACATACACCTTTAGAAGTTGTCCGATATTTACAGGTATTGATGAACGATATAAAAAATCGATAAGATTGCCCAACCCCTGGGCATTGAAAATTAATGGCTGACTGACTCAAATGATATTATAAATTTATTATGGAGTATTGAGATTTACTTGCTCGATGGAGTCACGATGGAAGTAGCTTGGAGAATATAAATTTTGAAATATTTTTAATTATTTTTTATTACTTACATTTAATTTCTGTACTGACTATTCCTTACTCAAACAAATATGACTCCCGATCCGATCGACATAAAAGTATGTAAAATTTGATTCGTATTGGATTCAATTTCGATATAGCTTCCATTAAAAGCTGCTACATCTATCCAATAGCTATAAATTTTCACACAGGACACCTACTTCAGTATAGAATGTCTTGTGTCAAGTTTGGCCCAAATTTCTAAAGAATTAGTTATAGCTCCCAAATATAACTTCGTCCTGCTCCCAAATATAATTTCGTCAGATATGAGGTTATCGGTGCACTCAATCATGCTGCATCACCCCGATCGACACGAAATTTTGCACAGAGGGTCGAATTCAGGCATGTACTAGAACATGTTTTAAACTTTATAGAAATCGGTCCAAATTTAATTATAGCTCCCATATATAAGTTCGTCCGATTTCTGGAAAATCATACACCAAAAGAGCCTTGTATGTCCGATTGACTTGAAATTTTGCACAGACCAGCCAATTCTATCTAGAAGAGCTAGTAATAAATTTTGTGGAAATCGGTTCAAATTTAGATATAGCTCCTGATTTTTTTTAATTTTGTTTGATTTCTGGAAAATCGTGCACCAAAGGAGTCTTGTATGTCCGATTGACTTGAAATTTTGCACAGGCCAACCAAATTCTATCTAGAAGAGTTGGTAATAAATTTTGTGGAAATCTATTCAGATTTCGATGTAGCTCTATGTAAAAGTTCGTCAGATTTGAGGTTGTTGGTGCACTTAATTTTGTTATATCCATCCGATCGACACGAAATTCTGCACAGAGGGCCGAATTCGGATTACAATCATGTGTGTTCAATTTGATAAAAATCGTTTCAAATTTAGATATAGCTCGCATATATAATTTCGTTCGATTTCTGGAAAATCGTGCACCAAAGGTGCCAAGTATGTCCGATCGGCCTGGAATTTTCCAAAGGCCAACCAATTCTATTAAGAAGAGTTGTTAATAAATTTGGTCGAAATCGATTCAGATTTCGATATAGCTCTTATGTAAAAGTTCGTCCGATTTGAGGTTAAAGGTGAAATTAATGA